CACACGGAATCAATAGACACACGACAGCTCCGTATTCTCCTCAACAGAACGGTGTCGTTGAAAGACGAAATCGAACATTAATGGAGATGACAAGAAGCTTGCTAAAACACATGAGCTTACCAAACATGTTATGGGGGGAAGCAGTCAGGCACGCCACATACCTAATAAACAGAGTTGCAACCCAAACTCTTATGGAACTAACACCATACGAAGCTCTGCGACACAAGAAACCGAACATTAGTCATCTTAAGGTGTTTGGGTGTATTTGTTATGCTAGAACAGAGACTGCAGGAAGAAAGAAACTTGATGATAGGTCAAGAATTCTGGTACACTTGGGAACGGAACCAGGCTCCAAGGCTTACCGTCTTCTTGATCCTACGAACAATAAGATTGTGGTAAGCCGTGATGTCTGCTTTGATGAAGATAAGCAATGGAATTGGAAGGATGAAGGTAAAACAGAGGAAAGTTCGGTTGAGTTTGAAGTATCGTCGTTAAAGGAGGCAGGGAAAACTACTGAGATTCAGGAGATAAGCGAGGATGAAAACGAAAATACTGCAGAAGAGTTGGATGAGACTACAGACAATGATGAAGAAGAAGCAACACAAAACGAGCCGAGAAGATCAACTAGAGTAAGCACGAGGCCCTCATATCTGGATGATTATGTTCTCTTATCGGAAGTAGAAGGAGAAAGACTTCTACTGGTAATTAATAATGAACCGTGGGATTACAACGAGGCTAGAGACCAAAAGGTTTGGACAGATGCGTGCAAGGAAGAAATAAAATCAATCGAGAAGAACAATACTTGGATCCTTACTGATCTACCTAAAGGATACAAGGCCATTGGACTAAAGTGGATCTTTAAGCTAAAGATAAATGCAGATGGGAGTATCAATAAATACAAAGCACGGTTAGTAGCCAAGGGATATGTTCAACGGCATGGCATTGATTATGATGAAGTCTTTGCGCCAGTAGCTCGGATTGAAACCATCAGTCTGGTTATTGCACTTGCAGCAACGAAGGAATGGGAAATCCACCATCTAGATGTCAAAACAGCTTTCTTGCATGGAGAGCTAAAAGAAGAGGTTTATGTCACTCAGCCAGAAGGATTTGTAGTTAAGGGAAAGGAGGAGAAAGTTTATAAACTACATAAGGCTCTCTATGGATTAAGGCAAGCACCTAGAGCGTGGAATGTAAAACTCAAGGGAATACTGAAGCAACTGGGGTTCACACGGTGCTCTAAGGAACCTTCTCTATACAGAAAAGAAGAAAAGAAGAACCTACTCCTCGTGTGTGTGTATGTGGATGATCTTCTGATCACAGGTTCTTCGTTGGCATCAATCGTCAAGTTTAAACAGGAAATGGCTCGAAAGTTCGAGATGAGTGATCTTGGGAAACTGACTTATTACTTAGGCATTGAAGTGCATCAATGCACTGGAGGTATTGTACTATCACAAGACAGATATGCAAGGAAGATTCTTGAGCAAGCCGGTATGCATGAAAGCAATCTTACACACATAATGGATATGAATGTAAAGTTGTCAAAGTCTCCTCAAGAAAAGAGTATAGATGAAAGAGAGTACAGAAGAAACATAGGGTGCCTACGCTACTTGTTGCACACTCGGCCTGATCTTTCTTTTAGTGTGGGTGTGCTAAGTAGATATATGCAAGACCCAAAAGAGTCTCACGGAGTGGCATTGAAACAGGTATTAAGATATCTACGGGGTACTACTGCTTTTGGTTTAAGGTTCACGCAAGAATCCAACCCAAGTCTGATAGGCTTTAGTGATAGTTCACACAACGTTGATGTTGATGATGGCAAGAGTACAACGGGACATATCTTTTATCTAGGCAATTGTCCTATAACGTGGTGTTCACAAAAGCAAGAGATTGTGGCATTATCTTCATGTGAAGCTGAATTTATGGCTGCTACAGAGGCGGCAAAACAAGCAATATGGCTTCAAGAACTAATGAGTGAAGTTGCAGGGAATGACAGCGAAAGGGTGATCATAAAAGTTGATAACAAGTCAGCTATCTCTCTTACTAAGAATCCAGTTTTTCATGGCAAAAGTAAGCATATTCACAGGAGGTTTCATTTTATAAGAGAGTGTGTTGAGAATGAACAAGTTGAGGTGGAACACATTCCAGGAAGTTTGCAGAAGGCTGATATTCTTACTAAGTCTCTTAGTCGGATTCGTTTTGTGGAGATGAGGAAGTTGATCGGAGTACAGCTAGTGAGTGAAGGTGGAATCAAGCTTAAGGGGGAGTATGTTGGTTTAAGCTTGATAACTTGAGGTTCAAGTTATTTAGAGTTTATCCTAATCTTAATGTGTTTGGAGTTATCTAAAGGATTTAGGAATATATTTTAAGTGTTTATCGAAAAGGGGTTAGGAGTTTGTCGAGTCCTATATATTTGATTTCATGTGTTGCTTATCAACTTACGATTTGTGTGAGTGATAGAGCTTTAGTTTTTGAGATACTTTTCTAAAGCAATATGAAGATGGTTTTGGTGTTTTTGAATACTTGATCTCTTGATTTCTATAGTAACCGGGTAAGGGTGCTTTTCTTTTCTAGATGCCGCCGAAATTAACGCACGTAAAAAACAAGAGACGCCTCTCGTCCCTTTTGAACTTTTTTTTGTATGGCAATGATGAGTTGTGTAATTTAATGGCTCTTTATCAACTTGCCTCCACGGCCTTTTCGTGTTTGCGTCTTTTCAGTTTTTTTGGCAAGGGCGTTCTGTGGAAAAACCATGGACTCGTTGAGGGTCCAGTAATGGTTACATTCCATTCCAGGCTCTCAACACTTGGCTATACATCTAATTAACATGTAAAGCGAGTCAGCGACTCGGTGTGAACAATAATTCAGCTACATGTGTCTTTCGTCTCTTTCAATTATCATAATATTAAGAGAAAATAATATAATGCACACCTAATCATATTTAATCATTCATGATTAATGAGTCCAATTACTGTCAACCATACATCCATCTTATTGGTTCATATTGGTTATATCATTACCGGTACTTTCATACAAAAAATACAATCATCCTGTAATATGAGCATTTCAATAGTACAATTATTATAAGGTATTTTACTCGCTCATGCGAGTATAACTATTTTACGAATATTTATTATAAGTTTATGTTTTGTTATAATGAAATGTCAAACTATTTCTACACAATTTTTTTATCAAGCTATATATGTTTATACTATTATGTTGAATTTTTTTTTAAAAAAACATTCACATATTAAAAATATTTTAGAAAATGTATTTATAAAAAAAATTTTCTATGATTAATATTTAATTATAACTTATTTTATATTCTAATTTGTAACTTTTAACAGAAAATAATAATTTAGATAACAACGTAATACATGACATGTAAATTATATTTACCAATTCATTATATGAAATTATATCAATTATCTAATATAACATGTATATTTAATATTATTAATAAATTATTTTAATTATATAATAAATTTTATGTAAAAATTCATTAAAAGTTTTATTGAATTTAACCACTCTAAATTTAACATGAGTGTTTATAGGTGAAAAATTCACAAATAATAGTATACATTTTTACTACAAAATATTTTTTTGCTCTATAATAAATTAAAAATATTTTACTTTATAAATGAATAAGATATTTACTTTTTGTTTAAATTTGATTTTCATTTCAAAATAAAATAGTTTAGAAAAAATCTAACACTATTATGAAATTAATATATTTTTGGAAAGTAGAGTAACCAATCGAAAATACTTAAATGCACATATGCAACCATTCACAAACTTAATGATTAAATTATTTTTTTCTGCTAGTGGGTTCATTAGTGACGAGATTAATAGTACTCTTAAGTCCACATTACGACTTAATTCAGCATCGTTTAATTATGCCTCATGATGCATCATAATTTAGCTTTTAAGTTGTCGTTCAACAAAACGAAGTATAAAGAATTCGGACAAGCTAGCTGGGCATAAAAATACTATGTACATATAAAACCATCATCAATTGTATTTCACTTAAAAAACATAAAACATAAGAGAAAAATTCTATTCAATAGTATGGGGATGCTTTGATATTCACCAGCAACAATTAAATAAATAGTATCATTCAAAATCTTGTTTTGATATTGGAAATTTCATTTACAAGATCTTAAACTTCCGCCTAGTTTTGTTTATATCTACAAGAATAAATATATGTGTTTATAGTTTAACAAAACTATTAATACTTATCATTGTATATTTTATTATAGAGTAAATCTACGAATATAATAAAAATTAGTTTAAAGAAATTTACTTTTAGTTAAAATTTATAAGTTTTTAAAATTAATATTAAATATGAATAAAAATAATTTATTTAGACTTTTAAGAAAAAAATGAAGAAATTGGTGGAATAAAACAAAAATTCATTTTGAGTTTATGTAATTTGGAAAGAGGAATGAAAATAACAAATGTGTTAATTATGAAAGTTTTTTTAGTCTAGTTGTTTGATTGACAGTTTATTAATGGTTCTACAACAGATCTACGTTTTAATTAGTGAAAGAAGGGATTTATTAATTAACTTATCTGAATCCTTTCAGCTTTTTAATTAATTTTTTTTTTTAATATTGACTTATTATGATATTTAGAATTATAAAAATACAATATAGATTCGATAACCAACAATATTATTAATTTATGAAATCTATCTTTAACTGCATCATTTGATATGTCCTATAAAAATTTAAGTTAAACCGGATTTATTTGTATTTTGCTGATGATCCATTGTAAATCACCGATAAACCAAACGCATATTTTGCAACGCGCTCGTTTGTCTGAAACGCGCTCGTTTTTTTTTATATCTTCTTCTGTCTCTTTCCGATTCCTTTCTTTCGTTCTGCTTGTACATTTGCTTGTCCTCTCCACACTCCATATATAATGTCTCTCTCTCTCTTTCTTCCGCCGCATAGTAAAAATACTCCCACCGTTGTTGTTATCAGAAAGCTTTACGAAGAAGTATGCTTCGCTTGTTTTCCCGTTATCCTCCAACTACGAGTCGGATCTGTAATTTGTCTTGTCTTCCCCCAAACCTAATCGGAGCTAATCACACCTCCGCTCGTTTCTCCTCGAGCTATTCTTTCTCTTGTAGATTAGAGGATGGAGAGCTTCTTGGGGAAAATCATGGTTCGTGTGGGCGTTCTGATCATCCTTGTTCGATTTGCTTACGTGGAGACTTGTGCTTCTTCTCCTTCCCTAACAATCTCAACCTCGTTATCTCCGGATCTACCGATGATCTCAACAGCAGCAGGGATTGGATCAAATCCGTTCAGTTTTACGGATCTCATGGCCGAGGGTTATCTCTCAGCGGAATCGAAGACGCTAAACGGGTTTGGGGCAAGAGGTTTTCTCCCTGAGAGAGATTGGTGTGAAAAATTCCATCGGGATCTCTAAGAAAGCTTACAAGCCCTTGGTTGTTAAAGGCAAGGACACGCTATACCTTTCGAGGACAATACATTCGATGAAGCAGTTGGAGTTTGCCGACGAGATGACTCGGACCCTGAAACCCCAAGGGAGGGTTTGCGGTGGTTCATGTGGGTGCCACAGATACGTACAGTTTCAACTCATTCCTTGATTTGTTTAATTCTTGCAGTTTGGTGAAGATGCGTGATTTAGATAATGGCCCCATGCCTCATATCAGAGAATTCGTTATTCAGAAAGTAGTTGATCACCACCTCCACCAGATGAAGAATTCTGGTGGTGGTGGCAAGTGCTGGATCCCTGGTTACAAGACAGATTTGATCCGGGATGCTGAGCCACTCATTCAAGAGGAGCCCCTTAAGCCCTGGATCACACTCAAGAGGAACATTAAGAACGTTAAATATATCCCTTCCATGGTTGATATACGTTTCAAGAGTAGATACGTATGCGTTGATGTTGGTGCTCCTAGTTACGGATCAAGTATCGGGAGCTGGTTCAAGAAACAGTACCCCAAGCAGAACCAAACGTTTGATGTTTTCGCCATCGAGGCTGACAAGGCCTTTCACCACGAGTACAAACTCAAGAAGAAGGTGCAGCTATTGCCATTTGCAGCTTGGCTCAGGAATGAGACTTTGTCCTTTGAGATCAATCACGATCCGGGCAAGGAAGCTGAAGCCAACACAAGGGGGATGGGCAGAATCCAGCCTTCTTCCTCGACCTTAGCTGGAGAGGTGAATCTGATTCAAGGGTTCGATTTCGCTGACTGGTTGAACAAGACTGTGAAAGAGAGGGACTTAGTTGTGATGAAGATGGATGTTGAAGGAACCGAATTTGATCTGATCCCCAGGCTAATCAAGACCCGAGCCATTTGTCTAATCGATGAGCTCTTCCCTGAATGCCATTACAACAGGTGGCAGAGATGTTGTCCTGGCCAAAGGAGCCTTAAGTACAATAAGACTTATAACCAATGCTTAGAGCTCTTTACTTCGCTCAGACAAAGTGGGGTGCTTGTCCATCAATGGTGGTAGTGGCTTGGGTGAATTTCAAATATATCAATCTACTTTCTTCGTCTAGAGTATAAACAAGGATATATTGTCGGGTTTCTATAAAAAACGAAAAGAAAATGCACACACACACGCTTGTCTTGTCTTCTCTGTTTTGAATTTCCGTTTACTATAAGAAGTTTTAGTTTGAAATGGAAATTTGAGTTTCTCTCACTTTTTTAAACTTCATACTAGATTTTGACCCGCGCAACCGCGCGGGTGTTTGTTTTCGTTTATAGTTATATAAACATTTTTTTTCACTTGTAAATTAGTATATATTATAGTATTCACATATTTACTATATGTATAGTAAATTTTTTTTAAACATAATAATATTATATAATACGTGTTTTAATCAAATATATTGTTTCAAATTTTCTATATTATATACGTTTTTCAAACATGTATTTGTTTCTTCTTCTATATTTTATTGTTTGTTATATTAATATTTCATTTTTAGATAAAGTAATATAAATAGAGCTTGATTAAATATTAGTATACTTTAATTTGCAAAGATAATATACACTTTGAAGAAATTTTTGCTAAAAACTAAACTTATAACTTCATAAATTAATATTATAAAAAATTATTAAAAAGAATTTCTTAAACAATTTCTTTTTTAAAACAATATAATTTTAAAAATTTACATCGAAATCCCTAAATTTATTTAGTATATAGCGTGCAAATTTTGTTAGGTATATAAATATTCCATATTACAAATCTGTGATTTTTGTTAATATATTGTGGATGCATTTAACTATTATTGACATATTTCCTTATAAATAATAGAAGATTCCTAAATTTATATCTATTGACATATTTTGCGTGATTAAGTTGGAAGATGGGAGGGTAATTTACCAAAATCAAATTGTTAAATGTATCTTTGTTATTATAGGTATGATTTTTCATAAGATATAATAATGATAAATTTATTAGAGAGTTAATGTAACATGACTTTCTAGTAATAGTCCATTTTTTTTAAAAATCACACATAAAGTCAAGTCATGACTTCTGTTTTAATATATAAGATTATTATGATGTGATCTTAGTTTAGTTTTATAGAGACTTTTGAAGGAAGAAGACAAAGATTTGCTGTGTCTGGTATCGAAGAATGGTTTCAATAGAGTCAATGGAGCAATGCAATCAACAGGGTATGTTCATTTTTTTCCCTTTTCCCTTTATCACTTTATCTTCGAGTACTGATGGATGGTTCGTCTAAGTTGTAAACCAGATTTGTAATCGTACGTGCTTAAAACCCCCATAACAAAACACCTTCCTTTTGGTATTGTGTTCTTGACATGAAGATTAACAAGAAGCAGCCAGATTGTTAATATTTTCGTTTTGGTATTATCCTATTTTACATTGTTCGTTGTGTTGGTTATCAAAACTGAGGAAATGATTTGGTGAAGGAGAAGTTGGATTGATTCTGTTGTGTGGATTGTAAATTAACAGCTAAAGGAGGAAACTCTACCGAGCCAGGTATTTTTTTTATCTCCAAAGATGAGTGGAACATCGAGGACAGAGGTGGCAATGAAGCTGGAGTGTGGCGGGAAGAATGCATGTTCCAAGGTTTTCATGAGAGACATTGACTTGTCTCCAGCCAATGGCATTGATTCTGTCTCTTCCCTCTGTACCTTTGTTGAAGGCTCAGCTCAAGGCACCATTCGACCTTCCTCCTGTCTCCTCCACTAAACCCTAAACCACCTAATGTATTTGACTGACTCATTTTTGTAATTTCTACGATGCATGTAAATTAGAGGACGACAAATAAAATAATAACTGTGAGTGAAAAGGTGGGCCTCTATAATAAAGGTAGCCCAATAAGCTATTTAGAGCCCACTTAACTTTTGTTCCTTTTGCTTTTTCTCGTCGATTCTCAAAACCCAAAAACCTGAAACCTCCGTTTGTTTGTGTCTCTCTCTCCACACAGGTCAGTTCCGTCGTTAGCCTCCATTCTCGGGGATCCTCAGATCGAAATCTCTCTCCTTTTTCCGGTCACTTCCCCGGCGTAGCATCATAGGTAGCTAGTTTGAAGTTATCCTGTGCTATTAGAATCCCTGGCGGCGTAATTTACGTTTGATTCAGTATTCATTGGTATTGGGTTTCTGAGGGAATGAAAGAGGGGCATGTTTAGGGTGGAGGGATCATGCTACTATCTCTGCGACCAACTCGCAGATTCTGCTATTCCTCTATACCCTCCTCCACTGTATACTTCTTTGGAGTTAAAAAAAAAAAAGAGAGAGAGATTTTGGATTTGTAAACTTGGTTTACCCAATCTTTAGATTGATTTTATACCTGACTTTTAGTTTGTTTCATGATCATTATTAGAGCTTGCCCGCTCGGCTTTAATTGATGCATGACATAAGTTTGTACTTAGCTTCTCACTTGCTATTTTTTTGTTGTTGTTTTTATTGGGGTCTCTTTCAGGGAGGGAAGATGTCAGTTCTCATTATGACTAGTCTTGGGGAGATTGTCATCGATTTGTACTCCACTAGATGCCCTTTGACTTGCAAGAACTTCCTCAAGCTCTGCAAGTACGTTTCTTTCTTTTGCCTTATCTATCTAAGCTAGCTTTATTCAATCTACATTTTACTCATTATTTCTCTATGGTTTAGGATCAAGTACTACAATGGGTGTCTTTTCCACACTGTTCAAAAGGATTTCACTGCACAAACCGGTGATCCTACTGGTACTGGACTTGGCGGAGATTCCATCTACAAGTAAGTACATATGATGTTGTTTCCTCAATTTCATTTTATTTGTTCATCTTTTGAATCTTTCTCTCTGTGTTTACTTTACTTTCCTGGTTTCTGTTGTCAGTATTTCCAAATAAACCTCTCAACTTTATCCTTATGCATGTTTTGTTTGAATTTCCAGATTTCTGTATGGTGAGCAGGCTCGCTTTTTTGGAGATGAGATTCATCTCGATTTAAAACATTCCAAAACCGGCACTGTTGCCATGGCTAGTGCTGGAGAAAATCTCAATGCTTCCCAGGTTACCCCAAATCTCTCTCATTTTGCTTCAACTATTTCGTGTGGATATCAAATATTTGACTCGCTGTCTGTTTTCTTTGCAGTTTTATTTCACACTTCGTGATGATCTAGACTATCTTGATGGAAAACACACTGTAAGCGCATATAATGTTGTTCCTAATCTGCCAATGATTCCTTTTTATATGTGTTATTACAAATTACAATATGCCATTCGTTTCAGGTGTTTGGGGAGGTTGCCGAGGGGCTTGACATTTTGACTAGGATAAACGAAGCTTATGTTGATGCCAAAAACAGACCATATAAAAACATTAGAATCAAGCACACATATATACTTGACGATCCCTTTGAAGATCCCACTCAATTGGCTGAGATGATACCAGATGCTTCCCCGGATGGAAAACCCAAGGAAGAGATCGAAGTTGACGTGCGTCTAGAAGATGATTGGAATCCTATGGATGAAGAACTTGATGCTCATAAACTGGAGGAGGTTATCCGTGAGAAAGCTGCTCATTCTAGTGCTGTTGTACTTGAAAGTGTAAGTGTCTTGTAGCTCTATTGATGTTAACACCAATCACGTTTAATACCTGAGCTTGTATTGCTGTTGCAGATTGGAGATATCCCAGAGGCCGAGGTCAAGCCTCCTGAAAATGTGCTGTTTGTCTGCAAACTGAATCCTGTGACTGAGGTCCATAATTTTATATTTAGAGTTAAGCTAAAAGCAAAGGCTTCTTTTGTTTGTGACAATTTCTCTCGTCTCATGCAGGATGAGGATCTGCATACCATTTTCTCACGCTTTGGAACTGTCATATCGTGAGTGATTTTTCCTTGTTTTTATTGATAACTCTGCTGTTCTGTAGTTGTGTTATTTATCTTCATGTCTGAATATGGCAGGGCTGATGTAATCCGGGACTTCAAAACAGGTGACAGTTTGTGCTACGCTTTTATAGGTGAGTCCTGCTATGTGGTTACTGTTGGATTTTTCTCTATATGTATAAATGTGTGTTTGCTGAAAGTTTTGTGGGTTTGTTATATAGAGTTTGAGGAGAAGGCGGCATGCGAACAAGCCTATAATAAGGTAAATCTCAAGTGGATCACTAGTGTAAACTGTAGCAAGCATACGAACTGAAGATTGAAATGGAATTATTTTGGAGGGGCTTTTAAGTGATTGTTGTTGCTTTACAGATGGACAATGCTCTGATTGATGATAGAAGAATACATGTGGACTTCAGTCAGAGTGTGTCCAAACTTTGGTCACAGTTCCGGCAGAAAGACTCACAAAAGGGTAAAGGTATGTCCTGTGTTTTCCTTGGACCTCCTTATTATGTGTATTTGATCTCATGGAAGGGATGATGATGTAAACTAACGGGTCAAAAATGGTGTAGCAGGGAATGGATGTTTCAAATGTGGGTCGACGGATCATGTAGCCAAGGACTGTGTGGGTGGTGGTAATCAGGCTTCAAAGTTCATAGTAAAAGATCAGAACAGACAGCACGGAGGAGGTGAAGGGTATGATATGGTGTTTGAGGGAGATATAGCTGAAAGGCCCAAGAGGGAGAAGAGAGAGGACAAGGAGAAGATTGGGAGGAGAAGTCCACATGGCTATGGTGAAGGCAAAAGACGAGAGAGAGAAGAAGGGAGAAGTCCTCGTGTCTATGGTGAAGGAAAAAGACGAGACAGAGATGAAGGTGACAAGGCAGCTAGTAAGTACAATGGTAGAAGACATGATAGGGAACAAGTAAGAGAAAGGGAGAGGGACAGGAGGTATGATGATGGTGGGAGTAGGGAGAAGAAACAGAGGGAGAGAAATGAAAGAGAGAGTAGGGAAGATGAAGAGAGGAGGAGAAGAAGACGCCCGTTGGAATGAGAGAGAGGATAAGGGGAGGAGAAGAGAGAGAAGGGATAGGTGAAAGGGATCTTCTCATAACCTAGCACTGAATTCCATGGAAATGAATGCATTACAAAACTTTTGCAGACTAAGGATCTTTCTTTTTCTTTTTGATTAATGGAACTGCATCTTTAGTATTTTTGAGCAATTCGAAAATAGACCAGTTTACCTGAACTGCCTAGCAGAGACTATAGACTAACATTGCAGTAATAATGTGCTCGTGGTCTTCTCTCCGGTTAGAGTAAACCGGTTTACTAGAAAACCAACTAACTACTAAAGAAAGTGGTTGACGACTACAAAACCAAGTAACTAGAAGAGAAGAAACAAACAACCTCTCCGCCGTCGCCGTCGTGAAATGTCAATCAACATAGTGGTACTAGACAATGGCGGCGGTCTAATCAAAGCCGGGCAAGGCGGCGAGCGTGATCCATTCGCCGTTATCCCTAACTGCCTCTTCAAGCCTCTCTCTTCCAAGAAATTCATCTTTCCTCCTCCTCTATCCGACCTCGACACCGACATTGACCCAGGGCCGGCTCAACATTTATTTGGGCTTTGGGCAAAATTTTTTTTTGATTTTTACTATATATATTTATTAAAAAATTAAATATTTTAAAAAAAATTTAACATCAACATCTTTAAAAAATTTATTATGAAAATAAATTATGTACTAGGATTTTGATCCGCGCTCAAAAAGCGCGGATTTATGTTATCTTTTTAATAAAATTTATTTGAATTAATATATTTTATTTTAACAAAAAATCAAAGTTGTCCTGTCGATATGAAAATGTTCTATTATATTGTTTGATTTTCACGTATTGTGTGTTTCCATATCTGATTCATACCCATAGTTTCGAAAATTGTATAATTCGGTTAAGATTTAATGAAATTTTATTAATTAAAAATTGATAAAACTGGTAAATATCCCGCAGTATAATATCTGTAGATCCGCTAAAATTCCTATAAAACTGATAACATTTTTTTTTAAAAACCTTTAGCTAATTAACACATATTTTTAAAATTAAAAAAATTGTTTTTTTTTGTAATTTCTTAACCTTTAAAGAATTTTTGTCATTTGAAAAAATGAAACAATGGTAATAGAAAAAATTTCTTCATATAACAATATTAGTTTATTTTTGTTATTAATAACCTATGATAACTTTACATTTTTACTTATTTATATATCGAAAAGGTAATTTATATATAAAACTATCGAGCTATATGTGATCGAATTATGATCGACTAGTTCAAATTTTATATACTTTAGGCAGTCAGAAAAAAATACTTTACATTTGGCCAGTTTTAGTGTTTGTTCTCTTTGTTCCACATCGATGTCCCACGCGCCCACTACGCTACTAAACTTAACACTTAACTAGATCATAACCCGCCCGACTGACGGGTATTTGTTTTTATGGTATATATAAACATTTCAAAAATTACAATCTAATGGTTCCAATTTGATTAAGTAATAGTATATTATTTAAACATTGTATTTCATCACTGTATTGTGTAACAGGGGGTGTCGCAAAATATTGTGACCCGTAAACATTTTATTAATAGTTTATAATTTTCTTTTTGCTAAATTTGGTGCAAAGTTATATACATTAAACAATTTATTCAAATTTTAAGTTAATTTTTTAATGAAGAATTGAAAGGCTAGTATATCACTGTTAAAAATTTATAACAATAGTCAATATAAATTATATAAATAAAATATATATTATTCTTGATTTATTTTAATCCTCCTATACATTAAAAGAGAAGTCACTTGGACACATGTCACTCATACATGCCTTCTCAGAGGAATTCTCTTAATCTTATTGGTTGATTTTTTTAGAATTTCTTTTTGATTTATTTTTATCATCGACAACCTAATAGGAAAGCAACACTAATTACTAACCTCATTAAATATTACTTGCACAAGAATATTAATTAATACATGTATTAATAAGTTTCCTTATTACAAATACGGTAAACCATTTACTCTTGATATCATATTGATTACATTACTTAATGACATTTAACAATTTGTATCTAATTAGGAAACTTATTTTTATTAACTTACCTTACTAATATTGATTACTTGCGCAAGTTAAAATCATATCATATGCATATCATTTTATTAGCTTATCNTTTAACAATTTGTATCTAATTAGGAAACTTATTTTTATTAACTTACCTTACTAATATTGATTACTTGCGCAAGTTAAAATCATATCATATGCATATCATTTTATTAGCTTATCATGCAAGCTAAATCATTGAGAAACATCCATCAATTTACTATATATAAGACATTCACAGTATGAGAAACGAAGCCACTGAACTTTTTTATTCTGAACTTTTTATGTTGATATTGTTTTTGTTATTTTACTCGCGGCCAACTGTTACCTCTTTCTCTCCAACTCCCTTCTCCGCGCCGCTTCATGTCTATGGTTCGTGGTCGGTTACATGTCGTTTTTTTTCAGTATATTTTCGGATATTAATTCAGTATTTTTATTAACTTGAAGAGGTTTTGTCTTTCACTAAGGACGGAGATGAGAGTGCACTTAAAAAGTGTGGAACTGATTTAACTGAGATGGCTAGACAAGGGAAGCTCCCTCCTCTCATTGGACGTGATGATGAGATCAAGCGTTGCATCCAGATACTATGCAGGATGACAAAAAGTAATCCTGTTATCATTGGTGAACCTGGTGTTGGTAAAACTGCCATTGCAGAAGGGTAAGGCTTGTAACTAATTATATTAATGTTTTACCGAGAGATGGCTCTGATCTAAATGCCAATTTTTACATAATTATATCAATTTTTTTTTTGAAGTATAATGGTTTACATGCACTATAGACGCCTAACTACACAAGCTGAGAGATACTAATCTTTTTTCAGGTTGGCTCAGAGAATTGTAAGAGGAGATGTCCCTGAACCTCTTTTGAATCGGAAGGTTGCTCTATGTCTTTCTTTTTGACTTTTATTCTGTTAACTTTTTTTAATTTTTAACCTTTAGAGGGTAGGAGGAAGATTGTTGTTACAAGAGTGCTTGATGTAACGTAGGTGATATCTCTTGACATGGGTTCGTTGGTTGCTGGCACCTCATATCGAGGCGAATTTGAGGAAAAACTGAAAGAAATACTCAAGGGAATAACTGCTTCCAATGGGAAGACAATCTTGTTCATTGATGAAATCCACACTCTCGTTGGTGCAGGTGCTTGTTTATTACTACTTCTCTTTCAAATTAAATTTGTACTCAAATATGATTTTATACAATTTATCATATTATAATATGTATATCCTATAAATTCATATATGTAAACTATATATTTCTTTTTTGTCATTTTTTTTGTCATCATAAACTATATAGTTCTATGTCAATTATAATATAACTTTATACAATTTATCACATAATAAATTATGTATATAATTCAGAGTTAGGATATGATATGTGTAACATTTTTTTATATATTTCTAATACAAATGTTAGAATTAAATCAGTTAAATACAAATTTCTATAATAAATATAAGTGATAAAACATAATTATTATATATTTCTATAGATTTACAATATATCAAAATCAAAACTATTTATTATTCTTTAATTTTATGACCATATTATGGTATTAGGAAAGATATACCTTGTTGGTAAAGACTTTTAATTAGTTAATTCGTTTATTAATAACTTGCCTTATTTTATTATCAATTATTTGCGCAAGTTGATACGATGATTACCTTATTTTGCCATCAGTTACTTGTCTTAAATGGTTTTATACATTTTATCAACTTTGTACTCAAATATAATTTTATACAATTTATCATATTATAAAATGTATATCCTATAAATTCATATATGTAAACTATATATTTCTTTTTTGTCATCTTTTTTTTTTGTCATCTTTTTTTTTTGTCATCATAAACTATATAGTTCTATGTAAATTATAATATAACTTTATACAATTTATCACATAATAAATTATGTATATAATTCAGAGTTAGAATATGATATGTGTAACATTTTTGTATATATTTCTAATACTAATGTTAGAATTAAATCGGTTAAATACAAATTTCTATATTAAATATAAGTGATAAAACATAATTATTATATATTTCTATAGATTTAAAATATATCANTACAAATTTCTATATTAAATATAAGTGATAAAACATAATTATTATATATTTCTATAGATTTAAAATATATCAAAATCAAAACTATTTATTATTCTTTAATTTTATAACCATATTATGGTATTAGGAAAGATATACCTTGTTGGTAAAAGCTTTTAATTAGTTGATTTGTTTATTAATAACTTGTCTTATTTTATTATCAGTTACTTGCGCAAGTTGATAAGATGATTACCTTATTTTTCCATCAGTTACTTGTCTTAAATGGTATGTTAATTATTGCAAATTTATGACATTCAATTTTTAATATCTTTCTTTAATTGCTTCATGTTTATTAAAAGAAAACAAATATTACAAGAACCATAAGACTTTATATATCTCAAGAAATGTCTTTACAAGAATTTTTATAACAAATATTTCAGGAACCATAAGACTTAATGATAAAATATGATTATTAATTCATAATTATTCTTTAAATTTGATATATTCTGAAATTTTTATTATATATAATTCTAAACAAAATAATCTTTTTAGGAAGTATTTTTTTAAATATACATTTAATTGACAAATTTAAAAGTTAATTTTTTGTGAAAATATATGTCTATTAAGTAAATTTCTTGTTCTTTTATGATGTCGTTTATTAGTAACTATATACATCTGATATTGCATTAATGTGTATGTTCTTTATTTCCTAATTAGTTAATTCGGAAATATGATGATTACCTTATTTTGCTATCAATTACCTTGGACAAATTTATATGATAATGGTGATTTGAGTTAGAAAAGCCTAAAACTATTATCCATTTAGAAAACCACAAATATAATAGTGATTTGAGATTTAGAAAATCCAAAACTATTATCTTAATTATATTTATATATATATATATATATATATGGATCTTAAAAATGTGATTTACTATATATATACATTTGTTTATTTTTATATTAACAGATAAATAACACAGATGAAAGATCGTTTGTAGTTGATTACAAACCATTTTTCAGTTTTTTCAATAGCGATATGCAAATTCAATATTATTTTCGTCTCGATAAATTTAAAAATCTATTAAATTATTTTATATTGTACAATTGCTAAAAAAACTGACAGTTTTTTTCAGGTTTCTATGGGATTTTTTTATTCATAAATGTTCTTTTTATTTTATATTACTTATGAATTATATTTAAAATTTCATCACATTTTCTATGGGATTGTGATATCTATGAGATTTTTATCACATTTTTAATATGTCACTGTCTCTTGTATATCTTACTTACATTTGTTTTTTAATAGTTAACTTTTATTAAAAACATACTAATGATGTTAATTTTTTTTTTTTTACTTTTGTTAACTTTCATTTGTTTTATTCTTATATACTTTCTGTGACTTTTTTAGTATTTGTTTCAGTTTAATATTGAATTTAGTTCACATATTTTTTGTGTATATATTTTAAAACATAATTTTTCTTTTAAAAAATTAAGCGACAAAGAGCCTAATTAAACCGATCCAAAAACAAACCGAACTGAATATAAATTGAACTGGACATAAACCACACCGAACCAGACTAAATAAGGTTTATTNTATTTGTTTCAGTTTAATATTGAATTTAGTTCACATATTTTTTGTGTATATATTTTAAAACATAATTTTTCTTTTAAAAAATTAAGCGACAAAGAGCCTAATTAAACCGATCCAAAAACAAACCGAACTGAATATAAATTGAACTGGACATAAACCACACCGAACCAGACTAAATAAGGTTTATTTCAGTTGAAAAAAATAATATTAAAACTGAACTAAACAAACCAAACCGAAAATGTAACGATTTGCTCACCTCTACTGCATCCTAGAGATTTGCGCAAATCTTGTCTCAGCATTGAAACTCTCACTTGTTCCACTAAGTCCCACATTTGAACTCAATAGATACTTCTGTCTCAACATTATACTATATTTTTATACCCGCACAGGGTGCGGGTGGGTCACCTAGTTACATTTAAAACATGAATATATATATGTATAAATAATTTTCAGAAATAAAATAATATCAATGATAGAAACCCAAAAACAATAATAATGATACTTTGTGCCGCAGTAATCTTTAGTTTAATAAATAAGCCCATTAGATTTGTAGGTATTCTTGTTTCCAATCATTATAATTTTAAATACCTATTCATGTTTCCAAACACTAATTTTTTGTACTTCAGCTTTAATAGTATAGATTATAGTATATGTTACAACAGCCGTTATAATGCAAAGTTTATACTACAAGTCACGGTCAAATATCAAATAATATTATTGTTGTGCCATTGCTTAAATCACATAATAACGAATATATCACATAATTAACTAATGGAAAAGTTGTGATAAAAGATACCAGTATTGAATTCATGTGAATAGGTCTCATAAGATAAATTCGCCCACCCACCGCTGAATGAATACACATCAATAACATGAACCTCTAATCGCCATTTTTTGTAGGTATATATTCTTACTTTGTAAGGTAGGTACTATGTCGTCGCAAGTTTTGAAAGACAATTCATATATACATATACAATACATGAAAATAGTGAGGAAGGGGTGGAAACTATTGCACAACTGCGAGAGATAACGATCCATGATAAAATCAACTGAACTATATATGTTATTTCATGGTGTTCCGACAGAGTTAGCTTTCCCTCTAAAATTCAATTTTACACGACAAAGAAACATGAAATCTCAAAGAATATGTAAACCAAATATCATTCTTTTTCTGGGACTCTTCAAAAGCCTTAGACAAATCGTGCACACGTTTTTCATTGATCACTTCAAGATTTTGTGGCGTAGAACTGCAGGATATATCTCCATTAACCAAGCTATTGGCAGCATATCGAGCTTTGGAGTAATGACGCAACATAACATCATTTATATGTGTTTGTAAAGCAACACAGATTTCTTCTCCCTACAAAGAACAAACTAGTGGTTCACATTTACAAGTTGCCCAAAACTATTGTCGTAAAGAAGTGCAATAATAATGATCCTAAAACAATGATGACTGAAGCTGTTTTGTCTCAAACTGAAATATGTGTAGAACACCAGCAACTCTCATTTTGAAAAAGACAGCAGTGTTGCTGCTGCCAAATTGCATTATGTCACGTAATTCAGCTGAGTGCAGATATTCTTTAGGAACCGGTCGAAAAAAGTGAGCCTACAAGAAAGTAACAACAAGTTCAAATCCAACAAAATACATTATAATTCCAAAGAACAATAACATTTTAAGAGAATCATAAAGTATAGCGTCTACTTTGAAAACTGACCCCACGTTTGTTGATACCCAAAATAATTCGTCCAGGTAAGAGGCCAATCGGATCATCTATCTGATAAGGGTAAGATCCAACTGAATAAAAAGGTACGGGGTCATTCCTACCATTGAGCTGTATCGAGCCAGGATATCTAATTCCCATTCACGCTTGGCTCGAGTTATTGCTATTTGTCTCGGCAAAAATCGCTCAAGAAGTGATGTCCAGTCACTGATCCGTGACCCAATGAGAAAGAAAATGATATTATAAACGTAACGTAACTTTGGAAACAAGTATCCCTAAGGTAGGTTCGAGACAAGGAAAAATAACCAAAGGCTTTACTAAGGAGTTTAGAATACTAACATGCATGACTCCGGACTATTGACAAACCCAATGCCAACAAGAATTTGTAAGGCGCAAAGCTGAGCAGCATCATCCCTTCCAACAGGGATAGTTTCCTAGCAAATAGTCATGTTGCAGCTGCATGCATGCATGCATGCGTGTATGTCAGCAAGCAAGTTTTCATGTGAAAATAAATGTATCATTAGTGAAGAAAACTGCCTCACTTGTACATAGGACAGCTGTACAAACATCAGATCTGTTACAGCTTCATCAGACTCTCGGAATAAATTTTTTTTTATTTAAATACTAGTTTGCAGTGCAGTCTCTCTCCTTTATTTCTTCTATCTTTTATAGCTTTGAATTCTGCGCGCGATGAGATCTCCAATATATATACTTGTTATCATACAATCCTATATATTCCTCTGCAAATGACAGATAGAGAAACAATCGATTTATAGTGTAGTAATAGTAGGACTCAGGCATTAAGAAAATGATCAAGAAAGTAGTATGAAAGCATACCATTTCCGGGATCAGATGATTTTGAACTTGAAACCACTTTACGACATTCAAACAAACTGAAGCTAGAAAAGGCTGATAGTTTAATTGTCCCAGCTAGCTCCTGATACGGATATGCATGCGAATGCAGTGAGACAATCTCTTCACGGCCAGGGATGGTATGCCTAGCTAGGACCAGCTTTGATAGAGCGCTTTAAGGCCTTCAAAGTATTAAGAGAAAGAGCATGGACCTCTGGTTCAGTTGTAGCATCGTGTGCGACATTGTGAATAATATTCACACTCAGAGAGATATCCACCGACATCTTTGCTAGGAGGCATTGAAGACGCACATAACTGCATAAGTGTACATGAGTTCCCACGCTCTTATCAAGTATTGCCTGCCGAAAAGGGTCATATAAAACTAACCGGTAACTGCGGGAGAGAGAAGAGGGGGAAGGCACGTACCTGTCAGGATTATGTCTAGTCTGCTTGGAGATTTGGGCAAAAAGTTCGTCCCTGAGTTCAACACGTACGCTTCAAAGTTTTCTTGAAAAGCTTGCCAGCAAGCTCAATGCGTTCATCTAAAGAGTGTGGCGGAGATGAATCGACGCCCATATACTTTAAGATGAGAAGAAACAACTTGGTAGCACGGCTGACGATCGAGATATCTATTGATCATCACTTTTTACGACTCTTTTGTTTGCCATGAACATTACGTACTACTGTCACTGATGATCTCTTGTGCAGTATGTTCTTGTATCGAAAACTAAAACTAAAGCATAAAAAGATGGAACCAAAATTACCTCAAAGATACCAAGAACAAGATACCAACTAAAGCACAATAATGTAACATTAATTAAGAAAAGGAAGCAATTGTGCGAATGTTATAGCACTTGTGATATTAAACAACAATGATCCACACCATACACATTAAGGGGGTACTGTATTCAGTTAGAGATTTTAAACCTTCAAACTCCACTAAGGGAGAAACTGTTTAAACAAACAAAAGCTGATTTAGCATGCATCACCAGTACACAATTGATGGTGGAGACGTTTCTAATGGCATGAGTTTTTTACAAGGACATTAATGGTTCAAGGTTACTTAACTGCCTCTGAGTTTTATCATTTGTATGTCATTTTTATCATTTCATCCATAATTCGTAGACACTGGCATGAATGATCTTGCCGTTTAATGAAGGAAATAATAGACTAATCAAGAACCTCTTAAAAGCCAGCGAGAGAAGTTTCACATAACGTATACCATTCGTTTCATCTAGGCTGATATTTTGGGATCCGGTTAATTATTTTATTCATCTCATTTCAGTATGTAGCACATTTATCTCCTCACCAAAACTTACCCAATAACCAAAATAGATTTTTATTATATATTTTAATAATTAGGGAAGTCATTAACCAAACCAGATGACACCATAGCAGTTGTGATGTTATAGCAGAGGATTTTAGGAAACCAAAGAAATATAAAACAACAAACAGTAGTTGAGATGAATTATGTCTGCTTGAAACTTGGTAGGAACCATAGAGATCTTGCGAGTTGTTCATGGGACGAACAATCAAACTTGTGCAGCGGCTCCATCTCCTTTGTCTCGAAATTGAAGAGACAAATTTGAGTAGTGTTCTTTTCATGACAAGTAGTCTTGTAGTAGATGGAATTTCTCTCAGCGAGCACAGTGATGCCTAGATCAAAAAGCATTGCCTCGTTGCCCAAAGAATCAACTTGTTCATACTTTGTTAAACAAACCTGATGAATAAACCTTGTAGACGCGGAAGAACCAGAGTGAAGTGAAAAGTGTTGCCCAGTTTTCTAAAGACAAAAGAGAAAGAGATGGTTTTGTGACTGAATAATACTTTTACTGAATGACGTTTACAGATGGTTACATCATCATCTTATACTACTACAGACTACTCAAAGATTCAGATAAGAGGATAGGATCTACAGCTGTAAAGTAGAGTCAACACACAGGTATGATTAGCAATGGATCGAATCTATTTTGGAGCTGTGTAGTCATCCCTTTCGTACACATTTTTTGTCCAACTCCAACACACAAAGCTAGCCGTTGAGATTTTGTTTTTACCTCCTTTTGTTCTTGGGCCTTTGATGATGTTGGGCTTACATTCCCCCTCAAACTTGCGATGGGGGCAACACCAACGCTAAGTTTTCTCCGAAGCTCAGTGAAAGATCGTCTGGGTAAAGACTTAGTAAAAATGTCGGCCAGCTGTTGAGTTGCAGAGATGTGATTCGTCTCAATGAGTCCCAATGCCACTTGCTCTCTAATATAGTGGTAGTCTGTATCAAAGTGTTTGGAACGAGAGTGAAGGGCATGATTAGCACTTAGGTAGACAACAGAAAGATTATCACAAAACACTTTTGTCGTCTGAGTCTGAGGAATTTTGAGATCACGCAGCAGGAAGGAGAGCCAAGTTATCTCTTGAGCCGTAGAACAGAGAGCTCTATACTCTGCTTCAGTTGATGATCTGGAGACAGTGGGTTGTCTTTTAGCTGACCAAGAGATAATATTAGGACCAAGCAAGGTACAGAACCCTGTAGTCGATCTTCTAGTGTCCTTACAACCTGCCCAATCACTGTCACAGAATGCAGATAACACAAGACTCTCGTCCTTCTTAATATGCAGACCAAACTCTAAAGTCCCTTTGATGTATCACAATATACGTTTCAGTAAACCAAAGTCAGACTGAGTTGGTGAGTGCATTCTTTGACATACCAGGTTGACTGCATATTGTATGTTTGGCCTCGTGATGGTGAGATATTGGAGTTTCCCTGCTAAGCTCCGGTAGTAAGTAGGTTCAGTAAACGGTGGTGAGTTTTGATCTTCCACCCTGATCGGTAATGGTGTGGGCATAGCATTGCAGTCAGCCATCATAGCTTGATGAGGAATATCAAGAGCATAATCGTGTTGGTGAAGAAATGTGCCCTCACTATAAGACTGCATCTGGATGCCAAGGAAGTGATTCGGAGTGCCGAGATCCTTCATAGAAAATCTCCTATTCAAGTCATCCAGTAACTTGTTGATCAAGCCTCCATCACTACCAGAGAGAAGTATATCATCTACATAAAGAAGCAGGACCAAGCTCTTCCCATCTCTATTCTAAGTAAACAAGGATGGATCAGAGCGACTGCAGTTGAAGCCAAACTCTATAAGGAAGTTGCTGAAGGTATCAAACCACGCCCTAGGGGCTTGTTTAAGACCATATAAAGCCTTGGTTAAACGGCAGACATAATCAGGTTTCATGGCATCAACAAAGCCATCAGGTTGAAACATATATACAGGTTCATAGAGCTCACCATGCAGGAAGGCACTAGAGACATCAAGTTGCTTCACAGACCAACCTTTAGCCAACGCAATATTCAACATTAGTCTGATGGTTGCAGTTCTTACCACTGGACTGAAGGTCTCCAGATAATCATATCCTTCTTCCTGTTCAAAGCCTTTTCCCACAAGTCTAGCTCTGCGCTTCTTAACAGATCCATCAGGGTTTAGTTTGGTAGTGTAGACCCATCTGCTGCTGATGATATTCATGTCAGAAGTTTGAGGAACCAGTGTCCAAGTGTGGAGCATGTGGATTTTGGTTATCTCTTCTGTGACTGCATTGCTCCATTCAGGATGAGCCATAGCTTCACGAATGTTTCGTGGTTCTTTTGTATCATACCGAGAGGTAGCTAGAACATATATAGTGTTAGGCTTCTGAATTCCTGATTTAGCTCTCGTCCTCATAGGATGAGTATTCGTTGTAGAAGGAGCCACAGCTGCTTGATCATGAATCACTGGAGCCTCAGCAACTTGATCTTCTTGAATCTCAGCAGGAGGAACAGGTTGCACAGGCACTGCAGCAGAGGGTAAAAATCTTGATATTTGTTCAGAAGGAGCAGGTTCCTCTGGCTGAGCAGTCGCTTGTTGCCACGCTTTGAGCAGACCAGACTCATATCTTGGTACAAATTCCTTGTACTGATCTTTAAATGGAAAGATAGATTCGTCAAAGATGACATGTCTGGAGATGTACACTCGTCCAGTTGGAGGATACAAGCATCTATACCCTTTGTACTGAGAGCTGTAGCCAAGGATAACACAGAGGAGGGATCTAGTGTAAGACCCGATCCGGCCGACTAGGCCGCGGTCCATGCCTCACGTCGCTCGGTCCATACCCTGACCGAACCTCTAAAAATTTCGCTCTTTATTTAAAACATCGCCCATAAGCGAGGGCTAACTCAGATCCTAGCTCAAGACTACCTTAGTCATTCCATAGCTTAAATCCTTTCAACTTATGCACAACGGAATAATATCAAATTAACCATTGGTCTAAAACAAATCTAACACTTGTCTGGTCACATCACCTCAGCTACTGGTCAGTATACTCAACTACCAGATAGCTCCAAGGTCGAGGCTGAACCCAAACCAAGTCATACAAAATCCGAGGTTCCAGTCACCTAACCATTCTATCTAGAACTAAGCAACATTGCTAGATCATACCTTTGCCACATCCACGGAGCTTGTTAGCTCATCGGTCCAACTGAACTGTCTTAGCTAGCTCATCCTCCTTCTAGCTGACTTAGCTAGCTCATCCTTCTAGATGACATAGCTAGCTCATCCAGCTAGCTAAGTTGCACCACTTCACCTGAGCTTCCATGTACTCTCATCCAGCTGATCGAGCTGCAAGGTAGCTCCGCCCAGCTTCGCGTCTACTCGTCAAGCTCTCTTATATCTGTACAAACTCTCCCCAAAGTACTTAGTCATTCAACCAACCACCCCCACAGACCAAGTAACCTTTGAGAAGTCTTCAAATGGTTAATGATATGCATCTGGCCTTTCTCGGCTCATGCATCATCCTTTGCCTCAACGGCTCATCAAATCAAGTCCATCTACTAGACTGACAATGCCCATCAGATCCTAAGTCACTCATCCAACAACCCCACATGACTCAGAGCTGATGAGTCTTCACTCTTGCATGATCGGCCATGGAAAAACACTCCAACAAGTCCGATCAGCTTTGTCTTCTAAGCCAATGCATCTCTTATCAAGTTAGAACCAACACCTTGATCCATCATCTATGAATCAGATCGTCTATTCTCAACCATGATCAGATCATACACGGTCATCTTGGTATATAGACATGACCGCAATCTTATTAGTGTTTGACCCTCAAACCATTGCCTATGGTTAATGAACTCAACACTATTCAAGATAGATCATCACCCCTTATATCAAGCATTGACTCAACTAACAACCAATTGCCACTATGTGGGTCCACGCCCTACACAATGCAAGTGGTGTCCTTTTATCGATCGCACCTCTTCGGACCCGAACAATTCGTACCCTTTCAGACCCGAACCATTCACACCCTTTCGGACCCGATCCCTTCGCATCCTTTCGGACCCGAACCATTCACACCTTATCGGACCCGAACCATTCGCACCCTTTCGGACCCGAACCATTCGCACCCTTTCGGACCCGATCCATTCACATCCTTTCGGACCCTAACCATTCGCACCTTTTCGGACCCAAACCATTCGCACCCTTTCAGACCCGAACCATTCGCATCCCTTGGATCACGTCATGTTTGCATCCCTTGGATCCCGATACGTTCACACCCCTTGGGTTGTGATACATTCGCATCCCTTGGATCACGACACGTACGTATCTCTTGGATCACGATACGTTCGTACCTTTTAGGTCATGATACGTTCGTACCTCTTAGGTCACGATACATACGTACCTCTTGGATCACGATACGTTCGTACATCTTGGATCATGATACGTTCGTACCTCTTAGGTCACAATACGTTCATACCTCTTATGTCACGATATGTTCGTACCTCCTAGGTCACGATACGCTCGTACCTCTTAGGTCACGATACATTCGTACCTCTTAGGTCACGATACGTTTGTACCTCTTAGGTCAAGATACGCTCGTACCTCTTAGGTCACGATACGTTCGTACCTCTTAGGTCAAGATACGCTCGTACCTCTTAGGTTAAGATACGCTCGTACCTCTTAAGTCATGATACGTTTGTACCTCTTAGATCACGATACGTTCGTACCTCTTAGGTCAGGATACGTTTGTACCTCTTAGGTCACGATACACTCGCATCTGTTTGGTGACATGCACCCTTTTGTCGATGGTAACCTTTGGTCAATGGTACCTCTTGGTCCTCGTACCATTTGCTACTCGCAACCCTTGGTATCTCGTACCTTTTGGTTACTCGCATCTTTTAGTAACTCACAACCTTTGGTAACTCATGACTCTTGGCAACTCGTACCCTTTGGATGACACTCCTTGATGGCACCTCTTGGTGACATCCCTTGATGGCACCATTTGGTGGCATCCCTTGATGGCACCCTTTGGTGGCATCCCCAGATGGCACCCTTTGGTGGCATCCTTAGATGGCACCCTTTGGTGGCATCCCTAGATAGCACTCTTTGGTGGCATCCCTAGATGGCACCCTTTGGTGGCATCCCTAGATGGCAACCTTTGGTGGCATCCCTAGATGGCACCCTTTGGTGGCATCCCTAGATGGCACCCTTTGGTGGCATCCCTATGGATCCTCGTTTATCATTGGGAGATCTCTTTAGGACGTGTGTCCATTGTCTAATACTGAATGATTTGATCTCTGGTCGGCCCTCCTATATATAGGAAACCAAAGGCCATGTCCAAAAGGAAACATCTCTTCCAAGCATCTTTTCGAACCAGATCTTGGCCATCGATTACAATCAACGGTCCAGATCGCATCTGTTGGATCTTGGAAGTTTCCAGACACATCTAGGCACGTCCATCCACTTCTAGACACATCAAATCCAAGCCCAAAATAATTAACCAAGCCCATGGCCCGACCACAACAGCCCATCAGCCCATAGCCAGCTCTGGCCTACCAGCCGGCCCGGTAACTGCCCAGACTTGACCCAACGGCCCAAAACCCAAACACTCAGTCCAGATAAGATGAGCTCATCCCTAGCTGGTCCAGCGGAGTGAGCTAATAGTCCAGCTCAGGGAGCTGACACACTCTACTTGA